TGATCTTTTTAAGGATTTCTCAGTTGAAGACATTTATAGAAGTTGGGGTATTGTGGCATCTACTACTACTTCCAAAGCTATGATACAGGAAGTTTGGTCCCCACCGGCACAACAAAGGGTGAAACTGAACCTTGATGGAAGCTCTATAGGTAATCCAGGCCCATCTGGTATAGGAGTTGGAGATTCCTTAAGAGCAGAAATCTCGGAACTACATCAAGGTGTAAAACTGGCCAAACAGTTGGGGCTACAGCAGATTGAGATAGAGGGAAACTCCAAGTTGGTAATTGGGTGGATGCAATCAGGGCAGCTGGGAATTTGGCAATATAGACAGATGATAAGGGAAATTCTTAGCATAACAAGGGAGGTGGGTGTTTGGTTCAAGTGGGTAAGGAGATCAGCAAATGGTTTTGCTGACACCCTAGCAAAAAAGGGACTGCAAGGGAGAGTCTTTTTTGGGCAGTGCTGTAATGTTTGATGTTTATTGGATCATCCTTTTCTAATAAGGGTTGAATTCTGTATTTCGGGTTAATTTATCTCTAATGAAAGTTATCGTTTCTGATAAAAAAAAAACAGTTTCTTACAACTGGTACTTTTATTTTAAGAAAGTAACACAAAAATCATGCTGACCCATGATTTTTATATCCATCCAACTTGGACTTAAGGTTTAATGTTAGTGGATTTGACCTTTCTAGTCACATATTCATCCAATTTACTTTTACAATGACATATATTTTAAATTTTAAAGGGAGTGTCATCAACTTGTTAATTTTGATTGGCTGATGTACCATGTGAGTATTGCTACTATCAGCCTTCCAGCAAAACCATTGTTGTTATTGACATGATGCCACAATGACCATGTTGTATTTCTCTCCTTGCAGAATTCTTATGAGGCACTGTTCTTTATTGTTGACCTACATGCGGTATGTTTCAGAAGTTTTATTTTTATTTTTCCTTTTAGGTTTAAACCCTGTTTATATATGTTTTACTACTGTACTGAGTCAATTACCGTAACTGCTTGATTACATGAAATATTTGTAACTTCTAACCTGCTACTAAACATTTTGGTTGTATGTTCTGTTTCTACCTGAACGTTTTAGGTTGATCAACACAAATTGGCATACAACTGTTATTTGAGGCTTTTAATAGTTGAAACAGACAGATCGTAAAAATGCATGTGTGGGAATAATCATTGATGTTTATAGCTGTAATGTCAAATTGACGTTTCCTGATTGGGGGGGTGAAGTCAAATCATTCTAGCTGAAGTGACTCTCATATGTGATGTGACAATATGTATCTCTCACCAATTTGTATTGATAAACCCAAAATGTTTGAGGTAGAAACAGAAAGGGTCCAAACACAACCTTTGCCTTTGTGATTGATCGATCTTGTGGTTTCCTATATTTTTACTCTTATGTCAGAGGTTTATATAGTCTATCTTTTTATGGGTAGGACTTTTTTTTTTGTATATGGCTTTCTTTATATATCTTGAAAGAAGGTAAACTAAATTTGTTGAACTTCAAAAATATATTGCTTTGATTACCAGTTGCCATATGCTTTTTATATGATATGAAGTATTTTTGACCACATTTAATTTTGTCCTTAACAGATTACTTTACCGTATGATGCACAACTGCTTTCCAAAGCAACAAAGAATACAGCTGCCATTTATTTGGCATGTGGTATAGACACCTCCAAGGTCTAGGGGAATTATCCTATCCTTCTGCTTAGGAAATTGAAAAGCTTGTAGTTGTGCTGACAACCACCAAATGAGCCTTTTAATTTGTTTTGGATATGCAGGCATCCATTTTTGTGCAGTCTCATGTTCGGGCTCACGTAGAACTGATGTGGTTACTGAGTTCAGCTACACCCATTGGCTGGCTGAATAGAATGATTCAATTTAAAGAGAAATCTCGCAAGGCGGTATGTTGTTTCTATAGGGGATAACAACGGCCATTTATTTTATTATTTTTTTCTAAACCTTCTATTGTTTTAAGTTTTATAGCATATGGGCTTATTGCTGCAAAGACATCTTGGGTCCCTGTTTGGTTGATGGGAAGGGCAGGTAATATATGTTATCATACCATGATGTTCCTATGGTTAAAGATGCAGAAACTGCGATAAAGGTATGGACATGATTATGAAGGGTTATGATAATGTAGTTGGTTGGTGAAAAGGATCTTTACTGCCCCCTCAGTTTATCCTCTATGATCAATGGTAATCTTGTGGAGAGGGAGAGGAACTGTGTTTTCATCTGGTGCCATTGTCTGAGTTGGTGAGAGGATGAGAGGGTGAGAGGGTGAAGCAAGGAGAAGGTTGCTGAGAGGGTGAGAGGGGGAGAGGGGGAGGAGCTGAGATGGGAGAGGAACTGTGTTTTCATCTGGTGCCATTGTCTGAGATGGTG